ATATTTATTATAATATCATACATACTTCCAGTATAATAGCTATTACCCGTTTATCATTAAAAGTTTTCTCTTGTATTACAAGTATTGTACCAGAGTATAAAGATTTTTTAACTACATTTTAAAACCCCATAGTCATTACAGCTATTAATAAAATATTGAATAGAAAATTATAGAAATATACTTTTTATTAATTCAAGTTATTTTTTAATAAATTACAATACTAGAATGTAAGTTACCAACATGGTACAAAGTCTACTACTTTTAAAATATTATATCTTGCATCTAGTCAGTAAACTTATTCAAGATAGAATCTTCAAATTAATTTTTAATGCTTTTGAAATTATCAGGGGGGTCTTTTAATAGCCAGGCAAACTCATATCTCAATTGAAGTGTCATAGTAATAATATTATAATAATATTATCATTATAAGGAAAACTTGATCCTCCACTGAAAATATCAATAATATATATTTACTAGTAGGGTATAACTAGTAACTAAAAAATATATCTCGGCAAAATATGTAGTAGAGCAGTATTAGTAAATACACTTGTTACTTACTTCTATTAATGCTTAAGGGTCTATAATTGTATAGACGAAACAAAGGATGACCACTACTCTTGCAGTGCCATAATTGACAGAGAGTGCAAATGAGAGGAGTAGAACAAAGTAGTAAAAATTGCTACTTTGTGCCTGCGCGAGGTGGGAAGTATGATAGGGGTGCCTAGGAACACAGGGCGCACCGCGGTGACCGAGCTATGCAGCAGCGCCAGGACATCCCCCCGCAAGAGTGCGGGGGAGCGGTCGGGCTCGAGCCCATGCAAACCTACCCGATTGCGCAAGCAAAGTCCGTGCTATCCGGCAGCATCCGCGGGGATCGGCTTCCCGCGCAGCAACTCCACCACACGGATCAAGATTGCCGAAGCGCTTACGGCGATCTCTGACAGCGGCAGGGAAATTGATACTGTGATAAACGTCGGAAAAATGCTGGGCTGGGAACGAGAAACACACATTGCTGACGATACATCAGTACGATTGATGAGGCTGTTATCGGCGCTGGAGGTGATTTTGGGGAACAGCTATTTGAAGGTGGAGCCCCTTGGAGTGTGCATAAATGCTTGGGTCGCGTTCGTGACGACCCGGCTAGGTGGGTCTGCGAAGGTTGCGGATGGACGCGGGTATGAGGAGGTGACATTGAGGGATTTGAGGACCACAAGAGGAAGTGTACAAGTACTGCGGTAAAGATGCGTGGATCAAGGCCGCTAGCCTGGTCAGGTGTCTGGATGGACGACTTGATGAGAGCCATTGTCGCGACTCTTGAAGGAGCGAAGAAGATGGGATTGGCGAGGAGGTTATTGAGGCGGAAGTTCTGTCCGTGCCAGATAAGGCGGAGAATGGGGGCCTCGTCGTCGGTATTAGGTTATGATGAACTGTTTCGCATGTTGACCAATATAGGTATTCTCATAAAACAATTAGTGGTTACGAGAATTTTTGCTTAGCTGCTGTCCGTCATGCTTCCTTCATGCCCACACGATATTGCGGTCATACATATAGTAGGCGCCATGGGTCAGTTTTTCTGACTTGATGACAAGAGCTCACTGCTCACTTTTTCTCATTGTCGGTTATCATCATAGTCATCGTCATGATAACATATAAGCAATAACCTTTCTGAAATTATAATTAAAAAAAAAAAAAAAAACACACCGCCAAGTCTACCAACACATATCCGCATTTGACCCTTCCTTCGCTGGTGATACCATACCATACAAGCACCATATCAACACTATACCTGATACTTGATCAACATCATTCTACGTTTCATTTTTCGTCCCATTCCATCCGCACATAATCCTTCCGGGGGGGTTTTTTTTTTCCCTTACATTAGCTATAGCCCTGCTGTACGTACTGTATTGTAATGACCACCACGCGAACTCAACGGCTAGGGAACAGCTGGCAACGGCATAGCTCTTGTAACCAGATCTGCTCCGTCCCCATCCGACACCTGCACAGTACTCGAGTAGGGGGGGGGGTAAGAAGAAAGTACTCGAGTAAAGAGGGCAAGGCAAAAGAAAGAAGAAATGAAAAAGAAAATATTCTGCTCAGAACAACATGTTGGCCATAGGTACTGTACTATCGCCTACAACGGCCTATGGGGTTATGGTTAGGTAGCTTAGTTCTCCAAGTAAGTGCATGCGGGCGTGTGGCCAATCATAGCAAAGTACCGGTAGAGTACTCTCTTTGACAAGCACTGACACCAGCAAAGTGCAGTAACTGGTACTGCACAATCAAAACTATGCGGATAAAAATCCCAGAAAATACAAAGACCATCCCATGCCATAAGCGCAGCCAATTTTCAAGGCTTCGGGTACCGATACCATACCGACTCCAAAGCTCTCGCTGCTCCAAGTGACCAATAAAACACAGTCATCTGCTCTCGTGCGTGTGTGCTCCCATCCCTCCCTCCTCCCGTGGATCCCCCCACCATAGGTTTGCAGTAACAACCTAGCTTATTACTCCATCATACCGGGGCTCTGTTGCTCAGGTGGCCAGAATAGACATGCCCTTCCCAACCTAAAATACCTCAGCCATTGGGAATAATCATAATAAAAAGGTGGGTGCGCCTGAGCTTTTTTACTGTAATATGGAAATGGGAAATCAAATGAAGCGAAGCAGCTGCAACGCGATCGGGTAGATCGAATGTTCCTCTTGCGAAATGGTTGCGAAATGGTTGAGGAGAGGTTTTTAGCTCTCCGCATAAATGGGTCGGTCAGGGAGGCAGGGTGGGAGGCACAGTTATCATAAACAAAGGCAGGGAATGGTACGGTAGTCTAGGCGGGGAAGGGGGGGCGAGTTAGCATGATAGCTGTAAAACCAAGAAGTTAATGCTGTGTTGGAGGGAGGGTTTATTCCTCCACCCCTCCCTCATACGGCGACGGTGCTGTCCTAACTGGGCCGGATTCCATAGCTGAACTTTGTCCTTCTGCTCTGATTAGTACCGCAAGTCAAATTTAGCATGGTAGGAAGCTAAATACTCTAGTACGAGTACTCGTACCGGCAGATAAATAGAATACCGTGGGCAGAAAGATAAATAGACACCACCACCACCACCACCACCTACCCGTCTACCCAAAAACTCCGCCAGCTGGCCAGACAGCCGTCAACCCACCGACCCGTTTCACTCGGATTCCTCTGGATTCAAGTCTTTTAAGCCGTCATTCCCTGCCCCACTTCTCCTTATCTTTTCCCTCTCCAGCTTCAGTCACTCACTCTCCGGACCAATTATCCAATACTTGGAACACCACCAAAAATTACTCCAGCGCAGCCGAATAAATTAAAAACCGAAATGCTTACTTCCCTCTTGACACGCAACCCTTTCCGCCCCCGCTCCTCCACAAACTCGAACTCGACCACAAACTCCGACGCCGCCGATCCAGGCTTCGACACATTCGTCGCGACCCTGCGCGCGCGCCGGTCCAGCGATGAGTGGGGGAAGGAGGGACCGGAAGGGGATTTATATAGACTGCGATGCCTCGCCGAGGAGATGGCCTTGCTCAGCGAGAGGAATTATGGGTGTGGGGGTGGGAGAAGAAAGGTCGGTTCGTAGAGGATGGTTTGATCGGGGTATCTTGGTTTCCGGTGATGGTGGTGAGCTTGTCCTTGTCCCCTTTCGTTTCGGGCTATTCGATCACGGGATGCTAATTATTTCGCGATTGTAGCCCAACGATGGATTGATTATGCGGGGGGGCTAGGCTATTATTGATTGTAGAATTACGCGCGGGAGTTTTGTGTATTTTCCATTACTAACCGAGTCTCTTTCTCTTCGTTATTGGGGTTTGTGTTTTGTGTCAGGTTATCTTTTGTCCCGGAGTTTTCGCCTCATCATCATGTATCTCACACTAGTGGTATTACCATCACAGCATAGCAGTAGTTGGAGCAATATTGGCACAATAATCTATCTACTGCTCTCACTATAATATCATACCAGTTCAATTCTTTTCTTTCCCGTTCAAAGGCTCCCTCCTCCTTAAGCTGTCGGTAAACAAGCCAACCACCCCTCGCCAAACCAATCCCAACCCCCTAAATACCTACCACTTCCTATAGTACCTACCTTCCAGAACCCCACCCCGAGTACTTCCACCAACCCACCGCATCTCCACCCCTTTCGGCCAGCCCAACACGTGCAGGCCCATCTGCCGAAGCCTGCACCAAAACCTCACCAATTCTGGAAGATGTAAGCGGCTATTCAACGTCAGTTAAAATAGGGAGCATATGGTACTCCAGGTGTTTATGGGTAACAGTACTCGCACAATACGGGAGCGGTTAAATCCCAATTGTTCCACCTGATCGGGGGTGCGCGGGGTGATCGAAGGGCTATGACTTCCCTTTGGAGATCTGTTTCGGTCCCGGTAGGGCGGGCGGGCAGGGGTTGGGGGGGGTGGGAAATGACGAGTGATCCTTCGTGAGTTCTGTGGATGTTGGTATCGGGTGGGAGGGGGGGGGAATGGTCATCTATCGCTGCATATCTGAACTTTGATGTCGGTTTATCATAGATCTTGGGTTTTTTTTATGATATCTGTGGGGGCAGAAATTAAATTAAGCTTTTATGATTACCATGTGCTTATAGACTTCTCTAATATATATATATTTTAACTTTACTCTGGCGGTTGATAATGACAATTAACTTGACTTATAGTGATAGCCCCCCCCCCTCCCAAGTGACGTTATTTTGCAGGGGTTGAAGTCCCACAGGTTATGATACTGCAATGTTTGCCCTTTCCAGAAGGACCATCAACTCGAGTTCCTCCCGAGGTTAAACATTTGCCCTATCAGACATTGTCATTTTTCCTCTCTCCCTCCCAAGTTCCGCTCTTCCGCAAAACATTCGACTCCCCCTACTTTCTCGTGTCACTTTGTTTTACCGCGGTGTCACTATTACTCGAGCATGTCGCTGGGTTTAGAGCATCATACCGTATTTGACATTTTTTTCCCAATTTACCTGCAGATCTGCCGACCGTGCAGATAAAGTTTTAGCTTTTGCGAACTGGGGTGCGAGAGAGCCCAAGGATGTCTTCCTCAAGAGGACCAGGACCAGGGATGTTCCATGAATGCGGGGATAAACAACTTGTATCATGCTGGTTACCGTGGGCGAAACTGCCACACACCGAGCTGTCAACGCGGGGCCCCGAGAGGGAGTTGTGTGTGATGGTTCCACCTGGCGGACTTGCGATCTGTTGCTGCCCGTGTTGTACAGTACTGTACAGTACATTACTGTATCATACCACGGACAATATTTAATTTGGTGCGCCTTGGGGAGCGATACATGGTTACGGTGTCAGGTATGGGCCTTGAGGACCGGAAAAGCTCCAGGCCGAACGGTGGCCATGGCAGTGAGCCTGTGAAGCTCTTCGTCGGGTGGGTGCTGTACAAGTACAGTACAGTACTCGTATGATACCAGTATGGTACAGTACTCGAGCACTGTACATATCCTGTGCGGCCGCCTTCCGCCTCCGGATTTGCAATCCAAAAGTCCTGAAGGGAGGGAAAATAACCCTTGCCCAACTACTAACTATAACAATACTAATATATCTATTAATATATCATACGAGAGAAGGAAAGAAAAAGAAAAGAATGAGGCCATGTTTTAGCACCCCGCAGTATAAAAAACGTCGGGAGTTTTTTTTTTTTTGCGAATTCAAAAACTCGAGTCCTCTTGACAAAAGAGCGCAAAAGAAAAAAAAAATAGCCATATCCACATAGCTATAATACCACCGACTAGCGATTCCGACGGTAATTAAACGGAACCCCATTTCGAGGGCCCTGAAAGCCGAGATATAACTATAATAACAAATTGATATAATATTCCATCGGCAACAAAGAGGTTTTCTAGAAGAGAGAAAAAAGGGGCATTACTATGGCGTGCGAAATGGGCCCGAGTTCCTGGGTGCACATGTCACCTTGGGAGAGGGAAGAGAAGGCCGTTTGAATTATACCGGCAAAAAAAAAAAACGGGACGCACTTATCATGTATCATACGCAGTCAAGTCCGGTGGGGCAGCCCAAGTTACAGCACCTTGCTCGAGTACGGTGTATTCCCTCTCATCTACCAAAATCCCAAATAGCCAGTTGCGGTTGCATTCCGCAGGCCCCCCTTCATGATTTTCCCGGGAGATTGGCCAACCAACCGGAGGAGGAGGGGAGTCTTAGTCAGGGTCCAAAAATCACCCCATATCTAAAACAATGTCGACTGATAGTCGCTCCGATGACCATTTTCCAGTCAACACATAGAGAGCGGAATCACGACTTTAGTTATCAAGAGCTCGGAACCGCAATCTGCAGCTTCTCCTACTATTTTGGGAGCAATACGGAGCTTCCAAGATGGGTTGATTATTACCCCATTGGAGCTCCACGAGTACGGCTCGAGCCTAGTTCCTTACATGCCGGAGGCCAAGCCGCCAGTATCAATTACCAACAGAACATGTTTTCCATCTAGGGATTAATGGAGCGCTACATCACCCGCTATTAAGATCAGCGGATTTGCCACATATCAATCAAACGCATGAACCCGTCTCCAGAGGGATGGAGGGATAGGAGCATATATCCTCAGCGCAGCGTACGGTATAATATAAACATACCGCTCTAAAAAAGTTAATACTTCGGCACTGTGCTCCTGCGTTTGGCCCTGGATTTACCCGACAACGTCTATCCCAATAATTTTCACGTCTCTACCCGTTAGAATCTCCAATAACCATACGGAGCGTACCCCCCGCCACCATGGGGGCCATCTTCCTCCCATTTGCCGTCCCGGGAAGCTGCTTGCCAGCCCTCCCATTGTCGCTCTGCAATTCTGATTCTTGGCCCGGGGTATATAGTACAGTATTCGGGTGATACTTAAGGCCAACTCCCCGATCATCCTCTTGGCGCGGGATATAAGCACCCGATGGTGTTGCGATATGGAAATATATGGGAAACTCCGACAATGTGTTGTATGTGGATGTGGAGGGGGGGTTGTTTTTCGGGAGGAAATAGGATGGGGGTGTGTGGGGAGACGTTTTGATAGGGGGCCCGGGTTGATCGAGGGATGAACTTCGGGGATATATCCCCCCCTTGGCAAAACGGTGCTGCTTACCACTTGTTTGAGGTCCTAGTCTCCCTTATTCCTCCCCCCCCCCCACCGGTATGATATGATGCTATCCCTTGGTAGATGTTCTGAAAGCTTTGGTCACTAGATATCACTCGTTTCTATAGCTTAACTTATCATAGGAGCACTAATTTGTGCAGACCTCCTCCGTGATCTCCGGACTCACCGAGTGGTATGTTCGGAAGTTAGCTCCCATCCTAAGATAGCACAACGCCAGTTACAAGCTATCCTACAACCACACAACACCTTCACTCGCCAGCGTTATGCCTTAAGACACATTTCACCTTCTCCCTTCTTCTCCTTGAGTTGGGCATGTCTGGGTGCTATTTCGGAAGCTCAATAAGATATATACTTTAACTCAAGAGGAGAGGGGAAAAAAATTTAAAAGTATGATATCCCTTTTCACTCCAGGACACAGCAGGACGTTTAAATACGCTCACACTCAATTAATTAGTTTTCCCCGTATATGTATAATGTTCCGTTTTTAGAATAGAGCATTCCGGCAGTTTTCAACTTATAAATTACATTGAATCTAGAAGTCTCGTTTGGCGGTGTCCAAAGGAAATTTTCGGGTTGGTTAAGACAGCGACACCGTCAATTACCCCAGAGGTGTATAGCCTGGAGATTGCTCAAATGGGGAAGATCCTAGACCATGCTAAACTTAAATTTTTTTTTTTATCTAGTCAAGCACCAAAACTATACTCCAGAAGAGTTCTAACAGAACGAACGGGTATATTTTTTATCTCAGGCCAGATCAGATATATCTGTCTATCCATCCATATACGGAGGTTTCCTTCGGCTTTGGATCTTCCGCTGAAGCACAAATAAAATAAAATACACTCATTACCTCACCAATATCAAGTTCAACATTATTCACTCACTAAAATTTAAAGACACATTTTGTGACCACGTCACCCCTCCCCCATTTTCTCAAGTGCAGAAACATCGTTTTGTTCCGAAAGGTCATGCAAAGTTGGACAAGTTACCACGTTCCGCGGGAACCAGCAGATCCGTGAGTAGACGTTTTAGGATAAAAAGGTTTTTCGGGGGGAAATAACGGGTTAAACGGCGCAGCGGTAGAGCGAATGGAATGGAACGGGGCTCGACCGTTATGGAGTATCTGCCGGGGGGAAAAGGTATATTCACAAGACTAGTTATCGCAAAGTAAACTTGCGGTGAAAACAGGAGTATATATCAAATGCATTACCTTGCGTACTGCCCATAATGAGAAAGGAAAAAACGTACCCGGAGAATCCTCTACATAAACCACTACAGATTCAGAATGGAAGAAACCTCCTACGACGGTCTTGGAGCCTCCACGAACAACTACAACTTTCTATCTGCTTTTCATCAAATCCAACGAAAATATGTCTACAGATGCTCAGGTCCGCAATCCTCCATACCGGCACCCACTCCGTTTGACCGCAGTATCGCACCGGGAAGTGGTTCACACACCACACGGTACCCGCGCCAGGCTTCTCTCAAATCGCCAAAAGACAAAAGAGGTCTATTGAGGCTCTGGCCAGTTGAAGAGTCCATAACAGGCACTGCGATAGCACAATTGCTCAGCTAGGAGTGGCCGAGTTCCTAGTATCTTCTAATTTGGAAGATTCACCGGGGTCCCCGTCTTTCCAGGCATGCACTGCTGTCTGCGGGGTACGGCTTGTATGGACTTCACTAGTGTCTTCAGGGGTAATATATTTTTTCCTCTTTTCATCTCTTTTGATAAGAGAGGGTATGTTAGATAGTGGCCCATTCTTAGACCACCGTGGACGCAGTACTCGGTGTCTATGTGGACCTTATCAAAGCTGATTTACCACTGGACCCGCTCTTGTGGGAGAGCTCACTATGCACTTTATTGCTCATGATGTCTACTTTTCACCAAGGAATTTCTGGCAGAAGACGCCTTGCCGTTCGATCACAAATTCATGTGGATAAATAAGCTCGATTCCCCCACAGCACATAGCCGTTATTATCAAGCCACACCTACTAGTGTAGCTTCTTCTGGTTAACTGCCCTACCTCGCGGTAAAACTGTGGCTTCACAATTATCATTATTATAACCGCTCGTATGACTTAAGGAATTGAACATAGGAACATCTCTCAACTCTCTAGTATTGTTTTAGACCCATCAGGTAGGAGATGGTTCTTGTGTAAGGAGATTTACACAAGTGTCCTCCATCGGCTCCATATTCAAATGAGCACTGTCGTGGTCCCCCCCCTCCTCCAATATCCAGGGTCCGTCGGCAGGCGTTCTAGTGAAGCGGATTGTATTCATCAGACTATCGCAACTCTAAACCAGCTCCGGTAGTTAGGCAATAGAAAGGGAAAAAAAAAGTCAAACTCAACGTTATGAATGAAAGCCCCCTTATCGCTCGCTCTCTTGCCTCTCTTTTCTCTTGACTGGCTTTTCCCATAGATGATCACTCCCGCCCTTTATACCTCTTAAATCATAAGGGTTCTAATTACGTCTCAACTACCGCGAAGACGACGGGGACCCCAACAGTACAGCACGAAGCAGGGATGGAGGAATCGAGGAAGTGAAAAGCGCGGGACGATCACGATCAGGGTCTTGTGCACTAGCAACTGCATTATGACGACGCAGGGGTTTATCACGATATATGAAGCTTGTGGCGCGGAAGCCAGGAGAACGTATTATGCATATACGTTCCTGTTCATAACTCAGTGTATTTCTCGTGCAGTCGAGTGAGAATTTATGAGTCCGCTAGGAAAAAAGGGGGGGTTAACACAGAATCTCCGATATCGACCTCCCAAAAACAGAGGGAATTTCGAGATACAGCGGCAACTTATTAAAAACCGTGATCCCAAGACAAGGATCGCGAATTCAACCACAGACCACCAATCACCATTGGAATCCAATTCCACAGTCAAACTCGACGCTAACTAAACTCCGCAAGTCACCCGGCACCTCTAACCCGGGAAAGGATCACAAGTTCCAAAAGACCAGTGGTCAGCCAGCCCCAGAGACCGGAGGTCTAAACCAGCCCGGGAGGGGGGAAGATTATCTGAGGATGAAATACGCCCACCAGCCTCCGTGTAATACTAGGCTACAAGTCCATAATCTAGTAACCGCAGAGCACAGCGCACCGCGGTAGAATGTATGAGACATAACCTAGCGTCTAACGATCCCAGACTCGGCAAAAAAGTGCCGCCGCCCCAGCCACTTGGTCGATATGCCCGTGGATGTCGAAAGAATGCAATATCAGCGACTCAAAGGTCCATATCTCGGGCGTCCGCTAAAGATCCAAAACCATAGGAAATATTGACATATCGACGAATATTCCAATCTCCTACAGGATGAGAAATATAGTTATCATTCCACTGGGGGGAAAAAATCAAATATTTCAACTGCCAGAGAAAATATATCTGTAATAGCACGATCTGATCTGAGCAAATTGAAGATATCTGGTGAGGACATTCTGGAACAAGTTGTGTCCGGGTCTTCTTTCCGCACTATTAGATGAACATCCAAATAATGGTAGTGTCTGCGCTCCTCCCAGAGTTGGGCTCTAGGCACCCACAAAAGATTGCGCGGAGTACTGTCCCCGGAAGGCTTTTTTCCCCCAAAGGTAGTTTTCCCATTTGGTAAATTTCCTGCGCTTTGAAGGATGTGGGGGTTACAATTTTTTGGGGATATTGGGAAATCCCGCCCCTAGAAGATAGTAGGGGTTTTGGATTTAAAAGGCCCCCCCCCCCCCCTGT